ATTTTTTTTTTTTTTTTTTTTTTGATAACCTTAAAATAAATAGCAAGTGCTGATGCTAAGAACGGTGCTAAATTGTAGGCCTGAAAATTTTTCATTAATCAATTTTAAAAGAAATCGAATTTTTTAAATTGAATCATATTTACATTACTTTTTAATATTTTAAAATCAAATTCAAAAAAATTAAATATTTATAATAATAAATTATTAAAATTTGAAAAAAAACAGGTTCAAGACTCGTTGCGCTCAATGCCATACAGTCGAAGCAGGAGGTTCCAATAAAGTAGGACCAAATCTTCATGGTTTATTTGGTCGTAAATCCGGTACAGTGGCAGGATTTTCATATACTGCTGCTAATCAAAACAAGGGAGTAATTTGGAAAGAAGATACTTTATTTGATTACCTCGAAAACCCGAAAAAGTATGATTATATAATTTTTTGAAAATTAGAGAATTTTGGATATTTTATCTCTAATTTTATTATATCTTGTTTTTTTTTCAGATATATTCCTGGTACAAAGATGGCATTTGCCGGGTTTAAAAAGGAAAAAGAACGTAACGATGTTATCGCTTACTTGAAAGATTGTACAAAATAACTTTTGAATATTACTGATCATATTCACAAGGAAAAAGCATATCAAATTATTTAATTATATTAAAAAAAAAAAATAAATTTAAAAAATCTTTTTTAATTGGTCAAATTATTTGTTGACCTGACCATAATTAGTAAAGATTTTTTTTGTTTGTTTGCATTTTTTGTTTATAAATTCTGAAAAAATTTTTATCCTTGGTAAAATCAAAAATTTTTTATTAGATCAACTTTTATTCATGCTAAAAATAGCCTAATGCAATTCAAATAGAATTCATTTATTTGAATTCCGAGAATTTAATTATTGAGATAGTCATTATATCGCTTGTGGTTTTAAATATTTACATTACATAATAAGATAAATTGAAATAATAATCATAAGGATATATATATAGATGTATCTCAGTATAAAGAATGTTCAATCTTTTCCATTTGTATCTTGTTTCTTAAATGCAGCGTGTTCTTTATGGACTGTAAAGAAATCAAATTATAATTAGGTATCAATGTTTGAAAAGGAAGGTGCATAATCTGCATACAAAATCATACCTTTGTAATATGGACTTTGAAGTTTAATATTTTCTTGTAATAATAATTCTTGCAATTTATCCATTATTTTAGAATTTTCATGTGCACCGGCATTTTTATTCCAAATAGTAAAAATATCAGCATTAAATCTAGTAGATACCGATAAACCAAAGATATCATCATCTAATATTATACATATATAATGTCAGTTTTTTGATCGATTTCTAAAAAGTATTAAAACTCGTTGATTAATTAACCTTTAGAAACAACATCCTCGAACTGTTCCCCAATTAAAAGCATGAGTAATTCTCTCCAGACTATTTTTGATTCAGATTTATTAACGCGAAATGACCATGCGCCTCCGTTTTCATTATGTGGGTCTTCCCTAAAATATTAAGTTTAATTAACTTGATCATGTATTTCGAAAAAAAAAGAGTAAAAAAAAAAAAAAATGAGGTTAAAAAAAAAAGAAACCTACCATACAGGACGAATTCCACTTTTCATAAAATGAAGACTACTTCTAAATTGTAATTGATCTGGCCCTATAATATTGTTATAAACTGACCAAAAACTCTTGTGAAAGCAAATAATAATAATTAATTATAGCATAAAGAAAATATTTAATAAAAANGATTCAGATTTATTAACGCGAAATGACCATGCGCTTTTTTTTTTTTTACCTGAACAGTATTTACAGTTGCAACACTCTTCAGATTTTCTTCGTATTCCTCTAAAAAAAAAACATATAAAAGAAAAATTCAAAACTTGATGAAATATGGGATTGCCCATTTTATTATGCTCAGTAACAATCAATTACAGGTCTTTTACCAGGCGTGGCATTCGCGACATATCTTTTTTTTTTTTAAAAAAAAAAGAGCACATAAAGATTAATATTGTTCATTATTGATTAAGAAAAAAATCTTTAATAAAAACGCACTTATCGTGGTAAAATGTCCATTCGTTAGTTAGAGGGTACTGCTCTGAACTTTTAGTGTTATCTTTGTCGGTAGTACTTTCTTTAGAACTTCGAAGTGAATTATTTTTCCAGGAATCTGTAGTTTGACTTTTTGAGTTAACGACTGAAGATTTTGTGGTTGAATTAGTCGGTAGTGTGTTAGCATTTGATGTCGTACTAGAAGACATTGTTTTATCTTTAACTTGTCTGTAATCAAAAAAAAATCTATCGTCTATTTTTTATAAAACAAAGTTTAACTAATAAATAACATCGATTTTTCTTTCTGTTAATGAAATAATTATAAATTAAATAATGATGTTCGCTAATTATTAACTTAGACGAACTCTTCGTACAAAATTTCACATCCCCTTATTTAAAATAAATTGATCACCTTTTAAAACCAATCAAAAACTCATCATTAAAACTCTGAATATTGCCTAGCGTGGATTGAGTGACATAAAAATCCGTCATTTTCAGGAAAAAAATGTAAGACATCATTTTTTATAATAAAAAAAACCTGTTCAGCTAAACATATTTTAAATGCTAAGCAATAAATCTTGTAACAGAAATGTTGAAAAATTCCGATGAAATGAAATGAATTAGGCGTGTTAGTATTGACGATTTAATAGTATTTTGAATTTGAGCTTAATTTGAACTTATATTCATATCTTTAGTTGGATTTATCATAAGGAATCAAAAAGATCTTTTATCAAGAAAGAAAATCGTTATTACATATGCATCAACTTCAAAAAGGTGTACCAAATTTTTTTAACGCCTTCTATTATATTATTATATCTGAAATACTATTGGAATATTGAAAGTAATTGGGGTGGATCAGAAGAATATATATATATATATTTTTCTAGTACATGAGATGTTAGGTGCAGTGCGGTTGTCTCATAATTGTAACTTAATAGAGATTCGCTCAAATCCCTCTCTTTCGGCATGCATAAAAAGGAAAAAACCGGTGAGTGGGTTCTCGTTCTTTTTTAAAATGTTGAAAATGAATATTATACATTCATTTTGAACGCATGGCGTAAGTTGTAACAAAATATCAGGCGTACTGTACATTAAAAGAAGAATTTCCCTACAAAAAGGGGTGTTACAGCCTGTTTAAATCAATGATCAACTAAGCGGATAATAGCATAGTATTATTTATTATAATTAGCATTCCTAATTCTGTGGAAGATGCTCTTTCTGGCTCGGATTAAAGGGTTTTTATTCTTTTTACGACATTTACAGTTGTAGAATTAGAAATTCAAGATATATAATGAATCGTAGCATCTATATAAGAATTTTGATAGAAGTTTGGTTTTCGTTTAAAAAATTTATTTTAAATTTCATTAAACATATGAAGATTTTGCCTATGAAAAGAGATTTCAATAAAGCAAGGTCAAGATCCTAATCAAAATCTAATCCGTGAAGTTGGCTAGAGTCTCGAACAAAACTGGCAAATTTATCAAGTTCTTCAATATATGCAAGTTGAAGAATTTTTTGATAAACAGACAAGTTAAATTAACCATTCAAGACTTCATATCATTCTTATTTGATGAAATAAACCAGTTTGAATGTTTGGATCTAAAAATTGATATATTGATGCCACAGACTGAACTAGCAAAAATTGGAATAATAAAATTTTCGTGCAATGTATTATTGTAAAAAATGTAGGTAGTAACCTAGAAAATAAAAGTTCATTTTAAAGATTTGTCATATATCTATCATATTAATAAATGTGAAAATTTTTAATTTGACTAAAATCTCTCACTTTCCATACTGATGAGCATACATAATGTTTGTTAGAATTTTACAGAAGATGCGCTTTACGTTTGGTAATCATACCTTGAATAATCCTACATTTCACGTTATTAATAAACAATTTATTATTCTCTTGGCACAGTAATTTATCATCCTCCGAGGTATTTGACAAAAAGGAGTAATAATGAAATAGACTATCTCGAGATCAGTTGGAGCTTGAGATTTAAGTGCCGGGCAAAATCAGAATCCGTGGTTTAAAGTTGGATCCTGAAGCCGGAATAAATCTTCATTCTGATTTATAATCAAATAAACTAATGGAAGTGTTCATAATTTTATATTCTTTAATGACATTATTATTGTTCAATTATATCTTCAGTATCACTGTTAGATCTTAGAAAATTCTCCAATGCCTCCCGATCATCTGCTGTTTCTAATTCAACTTGTTCTAAACTAGTTATCAAATCTTCATCTGATAGTTTTGGTGAATATTCTATGAAATAACAAAAAAAATATGTATGTAAATACGTAATAATAAATTTCGAAAATTATTATAAATCAACATACCATTATGTAATGCAGGATTTATCATTCGCTTTTTGTAGTTTTCCATTTGTGTTTCAAAATCAGCTTGATATGACTGCACTTTTTGGATTTTATGATTCCTCATAAACTCCTCATAATGTTGTTGATACATACTCCTTTTTTCCGATAATTCAGCCCTAAATAATAAAACTTAATAAAATAAGCAGTTATAGAATAAATATCCTATTATAAAACATATTTACTTACTCTTTTTCTTCGATATGTTTATCAAGTGAACGAAGTTCGGTTCGTTTCCAATCTTCGAAAATTTGTTCTTGATTATTTTTTGCATAATCATCAATCATATTCTCCAACTCTGACAATTTTCCTTTTAGTGAAACTTTTTTTAAAAAAAGAAAAAAAAATTACTAAGACTTTCTTGAATTATAAAGGAATGTCAATTAATTGTGATCTTACTTGCAGAATGGGTTATTTCATCGATCATTACTTTTACTTTAGGCAATTGACTAGCCTCCGATTTAACTAACTCGCATGTTTGATAATGATTTTCACATTTTTTCAATATTTGCTGAATAAGCCCATCAACTAACTAATAAATTCGAAAAGATTTAAGTATCAAGAATTAATAAAAGTAATGTTAAATGCCGACTTACAATAGCGTTACGAAAATTATTTTCATCCTCAGCTTTTATCGAATTCCAATCATTCTCATATCTAAAAGCATTTGAAAAGCAAATAAAATTAAGTACGATGGTTCATAACAAAAATCATGTCAATTTTAAAACCACCTTAATGAAAATTCAGTAGTGGCTGGTATGTCTAGACTCGGTATTGTACGTGACTTGCTATAATGTAAGACAACAATAATAAATAAAAGTCGGAGGAAAAATTCAAAAATGAAAAGAAATAAAATAAAATATAACCTTAAATACCCAATCACGGGTAACCTTGGTGACAACGAACCTAAACGCGGGTTTAATGCAGGTGTAAGAATTTCGGCCGATTTTGTACGAATGTTTTCCCATTCATTGCGAACAACCTGAAGTCTTAAAATAAATTTAATATCTAGAGTTAATTAATAAGTGTGGGCGATCAATAAATTTTCCTCTAAAAGAAAGTTGAATTTCTTAAGTAGGTAAATAATTGCTCACCCAGTCGTATCTATAAAGTCCTTAAAACTAGCTGAAGATATTTTTTTGAACTGTTCAAACATTGTTAAGATATCAGATATGCAAGATGTGCAACTACGTCTTAATTCTTAAACGTAACAAGGCACGTGAGATTAATACATTATTGACCAATGAAACTTGATGATCTTAAAAAAGATAAAAACGGAAATTTTAATAATTTATTAGAATCCTCCTTCCAATATCTCTTTGATTCAAAATGGTAAAGTTTTTCTTTGTCTTTTTACATCCATTAATCATCGAATTAGTAATTAAATTATTATAATTGATAGTTTGATTATTTTTTTAATGAGCTTAAATAATTTATCCGGAGAATGAGAGCGATGATAAACAAAAATAAATCTGTGATTTTGAATATTTATTATTAAATCAATATTATAGACAAAGGGTACCTCAAGCTTCGGTAAACGCCACACAAAGACCCACACTTTATGCCGTCGATGTGGAAGGCGTGCATTTCATAATCAAAAGAAAACTTGTGCTCAGTGCGGATACCCCTCTGCAAAAACGAGGAGCTGTTAGTAGTATATTGAAACTTGATTTTTAATTGTGAATTGATTGAATCAAATAATTTTCACTCAAGTATTAATTTGACAATTTTTTTTAAAAAAAATAGACAACTGGAGCGAAAAAGGTAAACGTAGAAAAACTACAGGTACTGGCAGAATGCGGTATTTAAAGCATCTTCCTCGTCGTTTTAAGAATGGTTTTCGTGAAGGTAAAAGATTTTAATGAATTCTATAATTCCATATAATTTTTTTATTTATAACAAATTTTATGATCTTTTATTATAGGCACTCAAGCAGTAAAACGATCAGCTCCAGCTACGGATAGTTCTGACGTTTGAAGAATTTTTCTTTTAGTAACTTTTTAAATCTTTATGTAAATGACAATAATTTTAATAAAATGAATGCTTAAAGTTACACTATATTATATACTACATGACGAAAATTTGGCAAAATTTTTTAATGCCAGCCATTGTAGAATAAATTTCCTTTGAAGGTGAATCTGGTAAAATATAGACAACACAGATATATCTCGAACAACCTTACTTTCTACAAAAAACTACAGTTAATCAATTATAAAATAGATGAGAAACAGACCGAGTTCTTGGGTTCTAAATCAATGGATGATCAGCAATGCCATTTAAATTATTATATTTTAAAATTTCTATTTCATCACCGGTTCTAGCTTATACGTAACAATATGATGGATTTTGGATTAGCCATTTCATTCCTTTTTACATTTCTTTATATTTCCTTATATTTATATACACTTATTTATGTATCCAAATTTCATTCACAATGTTAGAATTTTAACCAACTTTTGTTAATGATTCAAGATCATACAAGTTTCAAAATTGACTTTATCGATTAATTGAAATAAAATTTTAAAATTTTTTATCACGGCTGGCATTACGGCATTAAAAACGAGATACTCGTGACACGGAGTGATCATCAATTCATCAATTATAAATAAAACAAAAATTTAATTTAGCTAAATATCTTTTGGAGCTCCCAAATAACATGCGTATATGGCAAAATGTTGCGCGTGCACTATATATACACTATATATGGACATTCCCCGACGCCATTATCGAGTTTATGACCAAGAATTGTCCAAAGTTGTCTTAGACCAACAAGCATTTATAATACCAGCTGACAGGCTTTCTCGTTTTATGGTGTAGAACTTTTAATACTCAGGTGAGAAGCGTAATAATTAAAATTATCTTCCTCTTGCAAAGACTTGTTACGCTTCTCAGTAAAAATTAATTGACGCGTTTTCTTATTTGGTCCTTCGGGAAGTGTCTTTTGTCACACAAAATTAATTCTGCTGGATACTCTTTATTGAATTTTTAATGCTTTGCTGTAACGATATCTTAATTGTTGTGGCTATAAATGGAAGAGAGATTAAATCAAGTGAGTTAAGTTTATTAACAGTTTATTTCGCCAGATTTAAATATAATCATACCTACCATATAATCACACACTCGGGAAGAGATTGTCTGATTGTGACTGTATTAAAAAATTTCTCCGGTTTATAATAGCAAAACTTGGAAAAGTGTAATTGTAGAGAGTGTGTGATTATATAGGATAGGCCGATTGGGAATTACCGTATAGAAGTACGACTGTATAATTAACATTTATTTTTCTAGATTACTGAAGTCGTCCGTTTCATAACTGAAAATGACGATTATATTATAAAAGGCAATTGGTTTTGTCAGCATTGGCGATGCAAACACGAACCAAAATGTAATAATGAACAAGAATGTAGAAACAGATGCCCACACGAACCGGAGTGTCAAACCGAAGAGCAATGTCGAACCTTATGGGTATGCAAACACGAACCGATATGCGAATTCAGAGAACAGTGTCAAAGAAGATGGTCATGCCGACATAATCCGATGTGTCAAAATAAATGGTTTTGTAGAAAAAATTGGAGATGTATGCACCCATCACGATGTAAAGACATATGGGAATGTAAGTACAGATGGACAGAAGAATACGAACCACATTGTCAAGGAAGATGGCAATGCTATCACAGACAGAAATGCCGAACAAAATTACAATGTCAAAATAAGTCATTTCAAACCGAATGGAAATGCCAGCACGAAGCCAAATGTTATAATAAATGGAAGTGCCAAAGCAGATGGCAGTGTCAACACAAAAAGAAATGTGAAATGACGAATTCTAAAAAATCGAAGTGCCAAGCAAAATGTCAACATCAATGTAAAAACGAAGAGGAATGTCTGAAAAAATCGCATCAGGATGAAAACGAAAAGGAACGTCTGAAAAAATTGAACAAGTTTGAAACCAAATGGAAATGCCAGCACCAGTGCGAGAACCTAAGGGAATGTAAAGAAAAATGGAAATGCTCACATGAAAACGAACCAAAATGTAAAGACGAATGGAAATGTCGATCCAGAGGTTGGAGATGCCAACATAGTCCGCCATGTGAAGGTTCTTGTCAAGACAAGTGGGACAGAGAAAATGAATGGAACTGTAATCATGCAAAAGAATGTCAGACTAATTGGCAGTGTCTAAACGATCCACAATACAAAAATAAATGGCAGTGTCTAAATAAATGGACAATAGGATATAGCCAGAATGAACTCAAAGCAATTTTAGAAAAATCCCACCAGCAACTATATAATTTTTTTTCACAACAGTGCAAAGAATGCGGAAAAAATTGTATTATTTCGAGTTTCATCCTATATAAAAGGTCAACAACTATGTTCTTGGAGGTAAGTCAGGATTACAGAACAATTTTGCTTATGAAATGCAAAAGAATTGACATTCTTCCTCAAATATCCTAATAGAGAGAGATCATTTGTCACCTAGTATGGGCAAAAGCAAAAAAAACTAGAGGGGATGTGTTTTATAGAGTGTTTGGCAGCTGGAAATGCGATGAAAATCATTCTTGGGACAGCTCCTATACTTGGATATCACTCCGAAAGTTTGTAGAGAATCAGGCACGCTTGTCAGATCGTGATTATTGGAAAATTAAATGCCATGAATGCCGGAGCGATGGCAACATTTCGAGTTGGCAGATAATTGTAGGATCAAAAGACGGCCCCCTTCATGAAAGAGAGCTATGTGAAAAGTGTCGAAGTGGTGAAGTGTGTGTGCAAACAAACTCCTACTTTGGCTAGTGTGATGCATTATAAATGTAATTAATTTATATTTAGTAGGTAGTTGTCAAAGAGTAGCCCTATAGGTGGGAACATGGATTTTCTTATTGAATTATTTTTGAATAATATTGTTTATTTGCTTTCATTTATTATAGTATATTAAATACTGTTATTAAATATACAGAAATTCATATATTTAAATTATTTTATAATAAATAAATTATTATATAACGTTATTCTATGCCAATTTTTACAATTTATTAAGAAAAGAAAAAATATAAATTATCAGAATTATAACTCTGGAATTCAGGTCACATAGTGACAAATAGTTATTTATCACTATATTAATGTAATAAATATTTTATTTATCACTATATTAATGTAACAAATAACTATTTATCACTATATAATTATGATAACAATAATATTTATCATAAAAAAAAATTTATTATGATAGTGCTATTTTAATCTATTTATATCAGTTTTAATTTATTTACTAATTAATTAGATTTTATTAATAGTTTTTTAGTTTTTTATCTAAAATTTGATTTTATTCTTATAGAAATTAGATTTAGGCATTTCATTATTAAAATTTTTAATATTTATAAATTATAAAGGAGTTGAATAATCTCTACTTAATGACAATAAAAGAAAGATGTTACAGGTAAAATGCTGTCCAACTGGCAATCATGCCAATTGAAGTATATTTGTCAATCCATAGTCAATCCGATGGTATAATATAATATAATATCATATTAGATGGAATCAGAAAATTTTCTATTGATGTTTAGGGCACTGTCAGATATTACCTAATATCACTTTAATATAAAAGCTTACCCCCCCTCCCCTAGGTAAGATATGTTATATATATAATTCCTTATATAATATTATATGTAACTTAAGATCTTTAGTTACTCCCCCTCCCCCTAAAATATTAGGTAATATCTAACAGCATCCTTATTGTCAAAATCAAAATAACTGATTGGTATTTATTTGTACTAAGATTTTTCAAACAGTTGATTCAAAATTATTTGGCAATTAAAGTAAAATAAGTAGTGACCAGTTGCCTATTAATGTTTATTGCTAAATAAAATAGTTGATTTAGCAATTTACAGTAAAATAGATGGCGATTGGTTGCTTATTAATGTTTATTGCTAAATATTATATTGGTCATCAATATGTACAAATCTGATTTAATAAATTTTTAACAAAAATAATAAACGATTTTGTATAATTTACATTATAATAATATTAACAATATTACATGTTAAATTTTCTTCCTATAGGAAGAACAGCTATATAAACTACTGGATTTCTTTTTCCGATTTTATATATACTTGGTATAAATCAACCAAGTATATTATGTACCAGAATTATGTAGTCTTTATCAATTTCAAAAAATTATTTGTCCAGATTTTTTGCGTTATAGCCTTCAATATTGTTAACTTGAAAAATAAAATTTCGTTTAATGATTTGGAGTCAATATGAACTATTTTATAAAAGCCAATTTATGTATTAGAGACGTACCAGAAATTATGTAATTATGCTCAATTAGAGACCTGACCCCTCCTACCCACTATGTGATTGAATTCTGATTGGCTAAAAAAATCCATACAGTATAACATATAATATATTATATTAATATATATATTATAATACAATTAGTTTGCTATTTAATAATCCAATTTGCATAAACTTTTTTTTGTTTTGTAGCCCCATTTATGCTTTATAAAATAAAATAAAAATTTATTGAAATTGGACTGCTAGATGGTGAAATAATTGCAAAAAAGCTTGTTAATAAATAAATTATCACATATTATATATATATTATAATACAATTATTTCACTATCCAATAATCCAATTTGTATAAACTTTTTTTTTGTTTTGTAGACCTTTTTATGCTTTACAAAACAAAAAAAAATTCATTAAAATTGAACTGATATATAGTAAGTTAATTGCAAAAAAGCTTCTTAATAAATAAATTACTATATATTACATATATATTATAATACAATTATTTTACTATCCAATAATTCAATTTGCATAAACTTTTTTTTATTTTATAGCTCTCTTTATACTTTATAAAACAAAAAAAATTCATTAAAATTAGACTTTTAGATGGTGAGATAATTGCAAAAAAAGCTTCTTAATAAACAAATTATATATTATTTACTATAAAAGATATACTATTACCATAAAAGGTATATTGTGACATCTGATTGCAGGACCTGACCCTCCACCCACCCATTAAATCACGTAATTTCTGGCACGCCCCTTATCTTATTTTCCTTTCCTATTTTTAACTTATGTTCAAAGTAATACTGAACTTAGCCTGGATATATTTCTATTGAATCATTTTCTTGCATGAACTTTGCAAAATGGCAACATCATATTTATATGATGGGAATTGTAAATTTCAATAGGTTAGTTTCACATGTATTAATAAAGTACTATGAAGATGCTTTACATTTATCACCTGATATGTAAAAAGTGACTTGACCTTTTTAGTGGTATTAACTTGACTTTTCATATTGTAAAATATATTATGTAATCAAAAATGATACTTGATATAAGTCAAGACAATGATTTGCATTGATAGATATAAATAGCATCTATATATTATGATTTTTATGATGCGATATATTAATATTCTAAAATTAATTTTGGCATACTGTAAATTATATTAAAAAATAAAGTTTTAATAAACCTTTTATTCACCTTATGCAAGTAAAATAAAAATTGAATGAAACTAATCAAATTAATCAAACTTACCATTTTATTAAGATTTTGTAATAATAGAATTATGTAACTTTAAAATCTATGTTATTTTATCTGCAAATTTTATAACTTTTCCAATCATATGTTTATAGCTTGAAAAATATTTATTCCAGTATTACTGTCACTTTTCTACCTCACGTAATTTTTTGTAGCACATCAGCCTCATTTGTTTTTTTGTGTAATTTTTAGAAAAATTTTAATTGCAAAATTCATATTTAAAGTATAAAAGTTAATAAAATAATAAAATATGTTTTATTGATAAAAAATAATAATAAGTTCATTTAATTTTTACTTTGAAATTTATATCTGCTTATTTATTATTTATTAATAAAATAAAATGTATAACCCATAAAATAAATATAATAAATAACACCTAAATAAATATAAAAATGTACGTTTCTTATGTCTTCTAATAGATATAAAATATAAAAATGTGTATCTATTAATAAAATAAATATAGCATCTTTCCTAACTTTTCTAATAGATATAATAAAACAAGTATAATAAATAATAATCTAAATAAATATATAAATGTGCATTGTCTAAAGAAATTTAAAAAATGTATAATGCACTTAATATTATTATAAAGTATATTTATAACTTTATAAATATGTAAAATAATTCAATAAAAATAATTATTTGAATAATGCTATACTTGTTAAGCAATTTTAATTAGCTTTTAATGAATGACCAAAGTACTAAAATTATTTATATAAAAAAGATAAATAAAAAAAATAAAAAATAGTTAATATAGTAGTAAAAATAAACTAACAATAAATTTTATACTTAAATAATTATTTAAATTCGATATTTATAGCTTTTTATAAACTTTTTATCTGATATTAAAAAAAGAAAGAGGAAAAAGTAAAAAGAGTTACAAAAGTTATAAAATCACTGTTATTAAATATAAATAAATCAATGAGACTAATATAACACAAAATCATGTGGAGTAGAAGAGTAATAGTGATACTAAGAAAAATCTTGGAAAATTAAATAGATAAATAGATGTTTACATTTCTTTTGCTATTTATTATATAGCTGAGTAAACATAAAAATAATTTTGTTACTTGAATGCTTAAATATTAGCTCACAAGCCAATATATTTTTAAAGTACTTTTGGCTTGTGAGCTGGTTTATGAGAAGCTTTATACTTAAAGGCTTTGAAATACAGTGGTAAATATAACTATATCAGTGATTTCTTATAATAATACTATTTGATGTAATCTGGTTATTTGTAAATATTTAGCTTTTTGGTAAAATAACAATAATCCTTTATTTAAAAATTTTTAGACTTTCATTTTAATTTAAGCAATTTAAAAAATCAGACAATAGAGCACAGTCAGTATCAGAGTGAATTAAATATAATAAATACTTATTATATAAAAATTTCAGAAGTTAAACAAATTGTAAGAAAGTGTAAAAAGAAATTCGCTATAAATACTTTTTTTTATTTAATCATTTTGAAATTGTAAACCACATTTGAAAAAAAATATCAAAGAAATGAAAAGAGACAAATGTAAACTAAGTTCATATTTTGTTAAAAGCGTTAATTATAAATATTACTTCAACAGGCCACTTAGCAAATTGCAGTTTGCATAGACTACCTTGTAAATTGCAGTTTGCAAGAGAATAACTGCAGTTTATCTATAATAACTATTGGATTTAAGGTTGCTTGCCAAAACCTAGGGGTTTAGACAAAATGGCGTTTTGCCGAAAAGCAAAATTCTGCCAAAACTATATTAAAGTTATATTAAAAAACTGGCGAAACTTTGGAGAAAGGTGAAACTGCCAAAACTTATTATAAATGCCAAAACTGCCAAAACTCTGCCAAAACTATAATAAATCTATAGTAAAATTTTGACAAAACTAATCGTAGGATTTTAAAGAGGTTTAGATAAGCAACCTTAATTGGATTGCAGTTTATACAGACTACTTTGTAGATTGCGATTTATACAGATTACCTTGTAAATTGTAGTTTGCATTCATCTATGATTAGCTCTATAACTATATTTAATAAAACATGATGAGTAGTTAAAAAAAATTTGGCATTATAACTGAATAAAGATAAAATTAATCTTATAATACCTTTCTTTTTATTTAACAAGAATAATAAGAATAGCAGAACAATAAAATTTTTCTGAAATAAACAAGATATCACTTTGAAATAATTAATGAAGAAACCTAATTGCAATAGGTAGATTGTCTTTATGAGATTTATCTCTAGAACTAATGTTTTATAAATTTATTTATTTGATTTTTTTTAGAAAAAAGGAATTTAAAATTCGAAAAAATAAGTCTCAGCTACCCTTAAGTGATATTATTCATCATTCAAAAAAAAAAAAATTTCAAGCTACACATCTTATAAGTAAAATATATTGAAGATTTTAATATTAACAAAGAAAGTGAGGCCAATTAAGATTTCAAAGATAATTACATTAAAGTTAACTGATTTATGACTTTTCTTGCATAAAAGAAATCAACTAGGAAAAGAAAATCAGTAAGTTATACTGAAAATTCAAAGGAAGAAGATCATTCATTTAATTAAGATTATATAGATTAACCTAAGAGAATAAGTAATTTTTTATTATTTCACGTAATTATAAGTATTCTGATTCCAATACTATTGAATTTATTAGAAAACAAAAATTAAAATCAAAGCAATTATAAAGAAAAGTGAACTGTGATAATATGAACAAAAATAATATTATCATAGAAACTTTAGAAGATGAAAATACATCAAGTTCAATTTAACTAACTATGATATCAAATACTTAGAAGATACTACTTTATGTGATTATTTCAAATATATCCCAACAAATTCTGACGTTATTTGATATTTCAGAAGATTTTCCACTTCATGTGAATTTACACCATATCCAATAATTTGACTATCAAAAATTTCCTGTTTCTTGTGGCATAAATAGGTTAAGATTACAAGTAAAGGAAATGTAAAAATGACCGATAAAAAGACTGAACAAGATTTGATAAAAATAGATCAACTACCATGTATTACAGATAATAACACCTTTAAAAATTCGTTTAAAGAAAAATACAACAAAATAGAAGATGATTTGAAATGAAAGCTTTCATGTATAAAGTATTTTATAATGTTTCAGATTTTACAAGTGAGGCACAAAATATTCAAAAAGCTACAGATAACTTATCTAAAATATTAATTTTTTTAAAAACCATTTGAAAGGCCTTTAAAAAGTATTTTAAAAGCATTTTAAAATGCCCTTTTATGTTATTTTCATAATATTCTTATTAGTACTTATAAGCTCATTGTTAAAATATTACAAAACAATTTTAAAAGGCTTGCAGAAGGCTTTAGAATACATATCATTTAATAATCATCTTAAAACAATTTTATTATTAATGCGAACTATATATATATATTTTATTATTAATGCGAACTATACCTATATAATTATTAAACAGCAGTATAAAGAAAATCATTTTTGAAGTAATTTCTATTGTTAATGTCATGGTTTTCTACTGTATGTACAGGAAGTACCACAATCATGCACAAAATGAATTTTTTGATGTGAATTTATAATTGAAATTGGATGTATTCGCTTCTAATTTTCATTACGTCCTTGAAGTAAATACCTATTACATTGCATAATTTGATCAAACCCAATCAAATCAAACCATTCAAACAATAAGAAAACATGATAGTTATTGTCATTTGATCAGTGTACAAAAATTGCTTGAATACGTGCAAACCATTTTTCATTTTCAATATCATCGTTGTCTTTTTTTCCTTCTATCTCAACAACATCACCTGCTTGAAGTTTTATGTTTTCTTCGATTATCATATCATCATCTATAATTGTAAAAGAAAGATGCTGATAAAAATTAATATTATAATGCGCCACGGCTGCTTGCTGTCCAAAATAATTATCGTATGTCCATGATATGTCTGAAACCATATTTTCATCAAGTTTCCTTCCTGAAAATCCGTTTTCTTGTATTTTCTGTTTGTTCCATTTACCACGAACTTTTATATTAATATAGTTGGATGAGGGTGACGTAAATTATTTTCTTGATCTATTATTATATAGATTTCAAATAAGTGATTTAATATTCTGTAAGTAAACTAAAAATCGTAGTTGCTTATAATACCTTCTTCAATATCTTCATTTGAATATACTTGCGAAGTTAAATACCATCCATCAAATAAACTTTTAATTTTTCCATTAATTTGTATATGATTATGTAAACCACGATCTATTAAATATCTTAAATTATAAATTGTAGTTAGTGATCAATAAATAATTATGGGAGACATTTCTTAAATAATTTATTACCTAAGACTTTGCAATGTGTTTTCTCGTTTGATGAAATCCAATTCCACATTTTTCTTATTGGTATGTGGTACATAACTTTTATGTATTCGATGAACCATTTCTTTCAATGATACCGATGCATTAATAAAATTACCAAAGCGTTGTGCATGCTCAGAAAGATGACGAAGAACATGAAGGTTTGGTAAATTTGAAAACTCTTCTGGAAATACCTATCAATTTCAATTATCAGAAGTTAGTAATTGCTGGAATAAAATCTTATTACTAAGTAAAATTTTACCTTCAACAAATCAATAGACAAGTATTGCAACGTCGCATCTAATCTAACATAATCATTATCAGCCATTAATTCCGCAAATACTGCTTTTGAACATATGGCAAACTTAATCCAACATTATTTAATCATCGATATTGCTTGTGAATTTAATCGTAATTGGTTATTTTCTTTGATACGTTGAATTATATTATCTTTGATAGAGCGGTTGTTAAGACATCTACGTAATAGAAACGGCATCATTATAGCTAACCTTAATGTATCAGACATAAAGTAACTGTTCCGATATGATATGGGGTTTTGTTGACGCGACCAATATGATGGAAATTCAAATGATTTCCATACAGTAAGAAATTTAGCTTCTCCATCTCTTGTAAAAGATTCTAATGTAATATTAAGCAATCTGCCTCCCAATCCAGCCACTGCATGAAATGCATCTTGTGATGTTTGTGTATGACGATCTCGAAATAATTGATCCAAAACATTTGGCTTAATATATAAACCGTGCTCTTTTGCAAAAGCTGTTTGTAATGAAGGTACGTCATGTAATTGGTGCAAATAATCAAAATAATTATCAGTAAGGTGATGATATCTTCCATGCTTTTTAATATCATAATCAATTTCAGTAAGATTCTCTTTAAACACTTCACAAGTTCTGCATCCATAATTTGCATTTTGACGTAAGATTCCAGCAAGGTCATTACCTTGAGGTAGATCAGCCGTAGTCAAGCCCAATCCACCAGTCACCCAAACCTCTTCTTCCCCGATCTTCATCACAATGCCATGTTGTAATTGTTTAATGTCTTTTATAAATGGTTTGATAACATCCTCAAACTCTCCACCGAATGGGACGAACCCTATTAAAAAATGATTTTTCAGTTGTTGACGTAACTTGAGTGTCATATTACCGAATTGAATATATAGTCCTCCTAGAGAATGATATACTGTTCTAAAAGTACCGAAATCATCATAGTAAAGATTGATAAAAAATTTGAATACTTTCATATTAGGTGATGGAGGTATACCCATTGTTATATATTCATTTGGATGGTGATGTCGTTGTTCAATAGGACGAATTGTGTAACGATTATTATGCTTGTAAAGAATTTCAGAAATACGCTTTTCATAACGGGGTATTTGATCTGTATCCTTAAGCCAAATTACAACTTTTTTTATTATTTGTGAACGTCTTATTAATATAAAATCATCTGTCATCCACAACTGGTCAGTACCACGAGAAGCTGAACGAAATATTCTTGGCAAATCAAAATAATTTAATAATTTTTGAATTTTAATACGCCAAGATCCATTTTCTTCCACTTGAATAAATGCCAAAATCCTTCCATAATATCTTACATTGTCAAATTCGTACATAACAAATTCACCAGTACTGTAAATAACTTGAAACAAATTAAGTATATTAACGATAAAATAAATAAAATGTTTTAATATATTATTATTATACTTACCATCATTATAAGAAATGCTTGTTAAAACAAATAAAGGTGATTCATGCCACAAAGTTCCATGCCATAGTTCTCTTTTATTAGTCACTTCTACACCAGCTCCAAAATACGTATGCTTTTTTAGTTGAGGATTGTTTAATACTCTTTCAATATGGTTAAAAATAGAGAAATAATACGCTTCTTTAGTTGCTTCAGAGTTAGATAGAGTATTTTTCTGCAATATTGGAACAGTTAAACTTGAAATGGGCATTAAAGGTAGTTTATTTCGATATTTTTTAACGGTAGAAAGATCATTTGGGAGATCAAAAATACAAAATTGAGGATGTTTGAGGATATTTATAAGATCCTTATACGCAGCTGTTCCTATGATCAAGTTGTTAATAATGCAATACAAGTTTCACAAGTCGATCATATTTACCTATAATATGTTTTACAGTCCATATAAAAATCAGAAATACTGAAATGTTTGGGAAACATTGACCGTTTAAAGAAGAACTATAATCATATACAGTGTTAACGTTAGTATCAGATAATTCAGCATTAACGTCAGTATTTTCTAAAGGTTCTGAAATGTTTTCAATATTTGAAATATATTCTTACCCATTATTCCACTGAAATGTATCAGTATCGTCAGTTTCACTATTATGTTGAGATTCTACATTAACACGTAGGTTATTTTGAAAGATGTTGGCGACTCGAGTATCTCTTTGGACAAATTGTGGTTTTGTTTTTTTGGTATTTCTTATTCTTCCAGTAGTAAATTTATTTGTTTTTGTACGCACTCTATGCATTATTTGTTATCTAATTTTAAATGGTTGAAAAATTTAATAAGAAAGCATAGATATATAATTTAATTTGTAAACTACGTTCAGTTGAAGAAATTCTTATTTATATCAGATAGAAAATTGAGTTGAAAAGAGAAAAAAAAATATTTAGTTGAAATTGAAGTCTATTTATGAGATATCAGGCGGAATTAGAATTATTTAATCAAGTGATTAAGCAGAAATATTCTAATGAGGCACAAGTAGAATTATCTAGACGAATTATTGATTAATAATCTAATTATCTAGATGAATTATTGATTAATAATCTATTGATCTTTATAAAATGATGAATTATATTTTTTTCATAAAAAAATTATCAGTCGTAAATAATATTCATTTAGAATCATAATTTAAGGATAAGATAATCAATGACTCGTAACGAGAAAAGACAATCTAGCAGTCCTTCATACGAATTTATAAGTTCAGATGACGAACCAGCAACAGGTAATTTAACGCTTTAACAAAATTTATAATTATTTTTTAAAAAATTAAAACTGAAGGTGATAATATTTTGTTTATTATTAAAGTAGCAATATCACCATCTGAAAAAGAACTTCTTACAGTTGTAGTAACATTACCTGATGAAAAATTAAAACTTTTAAAACGTAAAAATAATTTTATTTTTTGGATACTATTTTAAATACTGAATTTCACGAATATTTTATAATAGCTCAAGAAAAAACAAGTCAAAAGAAACGAAAACTTGGTCCTAACCCACTTAAAAGGCAAAAAATTTCTGAATCAATGGCTTCAAGTTCGAAAAAATCAATTGAAAATCAAGAAGACTCAGAAAGTTCTTATTACGTTGAAGAAGAAGAGATTGATGAAGCCAAAGTAAATAATATGGTCAGAATATTTGTTAATACTTTTAAGAGAAATCCCGATTTGTGGGCAAATTTCAAGAATGTTGTTGAAGAGTAATTATCTGAAGTGCCGATTACTCCAATTTCATCAACAAATTCTTCTGGCAAAGGAGGCAAAACTAGACAAATAATTACTGATGATGTAAGTATCGTATTTAATTTATTTAGATTTTTTTATATTAACGTAATTATATTTATTAATTTTATCTTTAATTTTATATTTTTAAAGAAGAGTGGAAATAATATAACATCTAAGAAAGATAAAGATTTTTTAATGGAATTAAAGTGTCTTTTTCTTAGAAGCCGTAACCCATCTACTTCCACTTTACAACAAATAATCGAAAATATCTGGCAAGGATACATCATCAACTCCCCTGAATCAACCGCATATATTTCCAAAGCTCATCGATATTTTGACTCGTTCAGAAATGACTTAAATAAGAACATGATAATACTTGCACGCCAGTTCATAAAAGACAAAGAGTATGTATAATTTTTAGTAATTCAACAACAGTTATAATTTGTTCTAATAATTTTATTATTTTTTGTAGTATTGAAATAAATGATACACTCGATAAAGATGAAATAATTAATTATGTGGATGAGGCAATTGTAAAAAAAACGCTCTCTCTTTTTTTAAAGGCTATTCACAGCTCATCATGGAATAATACCGAATTTGTCAAAACTCTTAAAAGGTTTGTACGACATTGTTTATATTTTCACGTACAACATATTATTAATGGAGAAGATAAGACAAGATACAGTATAGATGTACTTGAAAAAGTCAAATCAGATAACGTTAACAATATTACGAAAGATTTACCAGTTCATAGTTTAAGTGGTTTAGATTTAGCAAACAATGTTTTTTTGTAGTTGAGAATTTCTTATTTTAATAGTGGCAATATTTCTGAAGTTTTGCGCACAGCTATTTTATACTTGTAGTTTATACCTTGTAGATTTATATTCAATACCTTTTCAAATTATTTGTATTTTATAAACATTGTAATTTTATTGCTAATCCATTGCAAAAAAAAGCAACAAAAAATTGAATATTTTTAATACATCTATAAAAGCATTTTAGAAGAATCGTAAATTTAAACATTTTATTATATAAGGCTTTTGCAAGTTAAATAATGCTTATGGAATGATTGTAAAATACATATATAATGATTTTAAATGCCTTTTTAAAAAATTGCATGTTTTAGCAAAGTGGTAGGGACTAGCGCATGCTACTCTGGAAAACATGTGGCAGGAATTAGTACATGTTACTCTGGGAAACATGCGGCAAGGACTAGCGCATATTACTCTGGGAAACATGCAACAGGACAAGCGCATGTTACTCTGAGAAACATGCGGCAAGGACTAGCGCATGTTATTCTAGGAAACATGCGGCAAGGACTAGCGCATGTTACTCTGGGAAATATGTGGCGGGACTAGCGCATGTTACTCTGGAAAACATGCGGCAAGGACTTGCGCATGTTACTCTGGGAAACATGCAGCAAGGACTAGCGCATGTTACTCTGGGAAACATGTGGCAAGGACTAGCGCATGTTACTCTGGGAAACATGCGGCAAGGACTAGCGCATGTTACTCTGGAAAACATGCGGCAAGGACTAGCGCATGTTACTCTGGGAAACATGC